CTCCGGTTGGAGGCCTCCCAGAAAGTTTTTTACCGCCTGATTTGTGGTTACAAAACTTTTTTGTTATTCTTTATTTTTTATTGTAGCTCCTCCTTCCACGCAATTGTGAATTGCAAAATAGAGCAGAAAAAAAGAGCATTGTTGATTTTTTATTTTATTTATTTAACCCGTAAAGCTGCAGAAGATGGTGCAAGCGAGAAGTCGACTAAATTTAGCCAATTGAAATGTACACAGAAAAAAGCTTAGCCCCCACTCCCGACCAGCAGTTGTGGCATTGTTAACTTTAATGTAGAGCCATAAAAAAAGCAGAAACTATGCATTGTTTACCATGAAAACGATGCAGGAAAGGCAAATGGCAAGATGGTATGTGGGATACGAGGAGAATTTCCCTAAAAATAAATCAAAGTCTGCTGCATTAATGAACTTCAATTTGAGGCCAGATGCTGCAACCTCTCTCGTTGCACAAGGGGTGTGGAATCCATCGACCATCCTTAGTTACCTGCCACCTAAGCAGATTTCATTTTAGATAAAGCAAACGTAAGCTTTTCCATTGAACTACGAACATTGAAAATGTTCACCCGGACAGGTGAAGAGATGGAAAAGCCAACGAAAGAGGTTTAGCAGCAGGAACCCAAAGTGGAAATAAGGCTGATGCTCGAAATTTTTATGCATTTGCATTTATCTTAAGTGGGCTTCGACGTCTAAACTGATTGGAGCTGTAATTTTTCTAAAAACAGATTCAAATTGGCTGGGCATTAGGAATTTATCAGGAATTATATTGATCTTTGAATCTGGTTGTGTGAAGTATGAAAAATTTAGCAAACATTGCTTTAAAAATCTTTTTCCTGAAAAGCCTTTAAGCTCCTCAAGTTCTCAACATAAAATCCAGTAATTTCCATCTAATTCTTCTTCAGTTTTTCCTTGGCATATTTTTGCATAATATTTACTAAAGTTTTTAAGCACTTAAATCCATTTAAGACGGAAAAGAAAACCCCAAACTCTGGAAATGCACTTCAATCAGGGCATTTATCAAAAACAACAATGGCTTGACTCCTTCGTAAGGCAAATCAGTCAAGCGCATTAAATTGTGCTATTGTTTTAGTTTAATTACATAATAATTGCCTTGTACGTTGTTATTCATGTTTGTCTACGGCTAATAACTGCAAGCAGCAGCAGCTTATGGGGAAAAACCCAACAAAAACAACAACAAAGCCAGCTAGCCAGGCGTAATCAATGCAGGGCGAATGGCCATAGAAAATTGGCTACAACAGGCGTTTCTTGGCCTGTAAAAGACAGGATAAAAGGACAAAAGGACCAAGACGGGCAATTATATAAGACACAGCATGTGCTTATTTTGATTTAATTTCCCATTTAAGACTTTGCCTGCACGTTATTTACATACTTGATTGGGAAAATCTTTGTGTACGTTAGTATGTTCGAGGAAAAGTGGAAGCGTTTTACAATTTTACCTTTTCGACTTGCAGCTTCCACATGTTCCCTTTGTTTAGCTTGAGAGTGGAAATCAAATTAGTAGCGTAGTAAAATTCATTTGAGTAAATTTGCACAAATTGCTCTTTGTTACGGCAATGACTCAGGGCAGAGCTTTAAGGACAAAGTGAAGGGTGACCAGAAAGGATACTTTAAAACGTATGGAAATGTTTCTGCCGGAAGTTTTCTTTAATTTAATTTAAATATATTTAAAACTAATTTCTCTTCAACCCAAACTATCCAAAGGAGACCCCTAAATATGTTAAATTTTCCAATGAAAAGCCGCAAGAGCCTCGTGTACAGAAAACTATTTTAACGACTTCGTTAACTGCTGCGTGTTAATAAGAGAGTGCAGTTCAGACAGCAATTGAATGTTGGTTAAAGTTTAAGCCACCTTTTTAACCCCTTTTCAGCTTAAACTCAATTTTGTGCGGCCTTTAATTTGGATGCCTGGAAAACTTTGGCTTTCGGGTTTTTTTCTCCTACGCGTTGGCAAGTGCCGTCGCTAAAGTTGACTTTGAACACTTTTACGTTTCGCTGATTTTTCAAGAGTTTCGTTTTCCATTTTCCTTTTTTTTTTCGCTGTGGTTCTGGCCACATTTGACTCTGGCCCCAGATCCTTCGGCTCTTTCAGCTGCTACCGCTGCTGCCTTTTCCTTCGTCGTCACTCATTAGAAAAACGTTGCAAAAGTCGAAAAAAATGTGCACTACGTGTTGCAGGGGCGAAGAAGCAAAGAAAAAAGAACGTCAATGAAAACCCTCATGTAAAGTTTGCTCTGGCAAAAAGTAAAGCTTGAACACACACAAAAAAAACGTGAAGAAACGACCAAGAAAAGTTTATTACAAACTTTGGACTGAAACACGCGCCAAAAGAAAGGAGAATGCAGAGCTAAAGTTTAATATTTGATTTAAAAGTTGATAAAATTTACTTTAGTCTGCACTCAATGCACTCACTACGGTGTTATTTGTTTTTATTGAATTTGTTCAAATGTGTCTTGGCCAGATTCCCTTGTTCTTGCCGCTGCTTTTTTCGCCCAACCTTTCCCTGAGGTTTTCATTTTTTGTCCAAACTGCAGTTGGTTTGCGTCCTGGCTACTACCACGTGGATTTCTCATTTCGCCATGCAAATATGAAAAACAAATGGGAAATGAAAAGAAGAGTGCAGAAAACGCAGAGAAGTCGCCGGTTTTGCAACAAAAAAGCTTGCCACTGAAAATGGGAAAATTTTCAAATGCATTGTTTGCTGGCTTTGAAATGGAAAACACGAATAGTGCGATGAAACGAGACAGAGCATTGGGCATTGTTAGAAGACCCCCTGCAGTGGCGGGGGTCGCAGCGGGGGCAACTACAAAACAGGTACTAAGCCACAGTGGGCTGTAGTTTGGGTAATAGATGAAGTTGTAAAGGCAGGATCTGTGGGGAATCAGCGGTCACAATACGCAGAAATTAAATGGCAAACAATGTGAAATGATCAAACCAGGGAAAACAACATTCAATCAATCACAGTTTTCGGCGCTTCAATCGAAAATTTACAATACAAAAATGATTTAATTTTCATATTTGCTTAGTATGTAACAATAAGCTCTACTTAACTAACTAAAATTTTGGCTTTGGAAGTATTGCAACCTTCTTAAACTTTAAATTTCTTTTTCACAACATAAATATTATACATTTTTTTAGTGGTCACCTAATAAATTAAAAATTTAAGTTAATTATAAAAAAGTAAACTAAGAGCTTCATAAACAACTGGACTCTCAAATAAAGTGCACCTCGGCGAATGGCTAAACAAATGCGGCAACATTTTAACGTAGCTGGGGATTTAATTTGTGAATTTCATTTTAGCATGCAAATATATTTCCGTGTTTTCCTGTTCCCGCCCGCAATTATTTGCATTTCCATTCGCAGCGGAAAGAATTTCTATACGGCCATACAATCATAAACTTGCACCTAAACGTTGAAACTTCCCTCTCCAATATCATCTAAAAAACACACAAATTTTCGCATGCTACCTACTAATTTTGGTTATATTTTTTATTTCACTCTTTATTGGACGTCTATATTTGAACGGCAAATTGGCAAATTGAGTTTGTTAGTCCAAGGCTCCTGCTCGTCAACTCAATATATATAGATTCTCTCTCTATATATAGAGAAATGTGCAATGCATTGCATGGCTTCGAGCTTCTTTATCTCAAATAAACCCAATTTGGCGCCCATGTCACATACGTCAACGCGACGATGCCACGCCCACTTTTCGGGGCAAGTTTCGCTGGCAATTTGTCAGCTATTTTTTCACCGTTTTTCTTTTTTTTTCCAGTTTTTGTTTTTCCCAATTCTTATATTTTTCTTTTTGCTGCATCACGTGCCACAACGGCGCACGTTTAGCTGAGCTTATCATTTTCTCAAAAGACTTTGTCTCTTTGCCATCTCTAACTCGCAGTCCCTGTCGACGGACTATTTAATATGCAAAACGTCAACTAACCAAAAACTGACAAAGTTGAAATAAATTTTTATTTCATGGACCCGCTTTCAGTCTCTGTTTATATATCGGCAATGAACTTGCCGCAGATTCAGTGCGAAACCGACGAAAATATGCCAGCAAGAACCTTGGGGAGCCTTTTGGCGCATCTGAAATCCTGAAAGAGCCTAGCGAAAGGAATTTTTTGGCAATCTACTCACGTAGCAGACGGAAAATGAAAAAGGGGGGAAAAAAGAAGGGAAACTGGATAATTTCACCGCTGTGAAGAAATCCTTGAGAAAATCCTCCTAGAGAAACCAAAAACTTTATAATTTTAATTTTAATTTCATAAATGCAGTGAAGTGCAGCAGCCAACGCGGCTGCAGTTTCGAAATCGCTGTCATCATCTCAATTCAATCAGAGAGGAACCGGAGAGAGCAACTGCCACCGCCACCTGGTGCCAAATTGCTTAGTGCGGCGGAAATCATCATTTTCCAACTGGTAACTGAATTGCGGAGTTGCCGCCGCAGCACGGATGAAAAAGTTTGTCATACGCCCCGTGGTACGGCCAACACACGACGTATGACGGATCCACCTTTCAAATGCACACCATACTCACTGTATGTGTGTGTGTGTTTGTTTGAGAGTGTGGAATATTTTCACGTTGAGCTGGCATTTGCATATGCCGGATAATGGTCTGGCTTTAGTCGCTTTCCCTCTGTTTTCCCACATTTTCCCTAGCTAGCTTTCCTTTTTGTCGTGTAAAAAACAATTAACGCAAAAACTGGGAGTGACTCATGAGCCTTTTGGATGAAATAATCAACGCTTAGATTTTTTCACGTTTTCAAGGGTATTCCACTGGTGCGGTAAATGAGCAAAATGCCAAAGGATTCCCGGCTAGTCATCGCCTAATGGAATGGCTTTTCCGCAGTTAGCCTTTAATTCAAATTAATCAAGTTCGGGTTGGAAGGGTTTTTCTTTAAGAGAAAATTCGAACTCCTCAAAACCAATTTTTCAATATATTACAAAGTCTAAGATTTAGTCACTAAAAACTCACCATTTGCTGTTGATTCTTTGGCTTCTTGACCAGATCGGGCACCTTGAAGCTGGTGACTGCCTCGATGACCTCGGCCAATAGCAGTCCATCTCGACAATCGGCTGAGAGATCTGTGACTTTCTTCTTTGATTTGGCACGTTCCAAGTAGTAGTTGGCCCAGTCTGTGTATATCTGCAAAAATAGAGATTGAAATATTTATTTAAATGTTTACTAAACGGCAACCTAATAGCCCATCCAGCTTGTAATTAAGAGTTGGGCAGGCCCAGCTGTCCCTTGGCACTGCACAAATTGCAGTCTTCTAGGCAATTTGGTTATCAGGAAATCATTAGCCATCCTAGCCTTTTCTGGCCAAAAACCAACATATGCACAAGGAGTTGTTGGGCAAACAAATTAAAATTGAAGACATTTCCTCCCGAAGAGCCCTTTGGAAGTCGTTAAGAAAAGCTGTGCAACAATTTTGGCTAAACGAAAAATCCTTTTTATTTCTTTGCCAGTTCCTAGTGGCCTTATCCTTATCCCATTTCCCATTTCTGTCTCCCATCCTTCGCAATGTCCTGCAAAGTTTCGTTTGGCTGTCTTGTGACGTCCTTGGCCTGGTCTATCCTTCATCTGTCTGTCTTTTGAGATATTTGGTTATATCAATTTAACTACCATGGTTACAAGTTTTGTCTTATTAGGGTAGAAATGGTATTATGTTAGCAAGAGACTTATTCGAATTTTGGCTGCCTTAGGTTAGTTAATGCAACTTAAATGTGGAAAAGTTTGTTAAATTATTTAAATATTAATATTTCAATTTAATAACTTTAACTTTCTTTACAAATAATGGTAAAAAAAATAATAAACTAATCCAGCTAGAAGCACCTTTCATACACTTTCCTTTTGCCTAACTTTCAGATCTTTAGGGTATTTGAACTTTCCTTTTTGTTGCTAGCAAGGACATTATTAGCTTTCCAGACTTGGGCTGCCCTCACGTCGTTAGCCACATCCTTACATAGTTTTTATTATGCCCCTCCCCCGGCCAGTTGGTAATCCTAATGTGGACGCCCTCATCTCCTGACTTTGCTGCATATGCATGCGACACATTTTATGTTCGCCTTGCTTGGCAATAAAAATATCTTGCATTGTACTTTTGCTATCTTTTGCCAGCCTTCTGTTTGTCTAGCTGCCATTCTGTTATTGTCCTTTGGTTCTGGGCCCTCAACCCCACTGTTTAACCATATTCCATTCCGTTCCGACCAACTTACGAACGAGCTTTACATCTCAAAGGGCAGCCAGACACACAACAATGGACTTGGACCCAGGACTTTGTGAGTTTTTCACATTTTTCAGTTGCTTTTCTTTTAGGCTCGGGATTTGGCTTAGGCTTTAGCTTTGGCTTTGCCATTGGCTTTTGGAACAATAAACTGAAAACTTGTTAGTGGAAAATAGCCGGGCGAATGTCAGTGTCACTGGCTTTATAGAACATGCTCTGCAAGGACTCCCCTCGGTGTCTGTATCTAAGAGATACTTTTGTTTATGAAGCGACATTTTTTCACATTTCATACACCCAGCGAACGTAACTTAAATTTAGTTAGCTTTGCTGAGCACAAAAAGCTACTCTTTCACTAATTAATTTAGTTCCATTAGTCGTCTGCTCCCGTCCTTTTATACAAACCTCGGCATAGTCACGCGTCAGGATGCCGTTGATATTATCGCAGGAGCCCTGATAGCTCACACAGCGAGCCAGCATTTTTTTACTCAGTTAAAAAGGTTCACTGATTGATGGAGTTGATTATGTTTTTTATTTACACTTTTTCACACACATTTTGTTTGCATTTACAGGAAGTCATTTATCAATCGGAATGGTAAAAGGCTTTAAGTATTGATTTAAATATTAAATTCTAGTTTTTTTCTCCTATAAATTGCACAAAATCAAAGCTATTGAAGGCTTTCTTTCTTTTAGCATTAGTGTAAAATATATTTGCAACTACCTCCCTCATCTAAGCCACCTTTATACGACCTTTTTGCACGTTACCCGCATCTAACCAAAGTCATTTTTTACACTCGGGTACTTATCACACATTATGCACCTTTCAGCCACAGCCATGTTTATGGGCCAGCCCTCTCAACACTTTTTATTATTTTCTCCAGACCGTTTCATAAATATTAAATTACTTCCAACGGCTGCCCGCTTCCTTGTAAAGTGTATTATTATTTCGTTTTTTTTGTTGTTTTTTGCCATTTCCCCATTAAAATGTCAATTATGATAAAGTTTTATTGGAACACCGTTGTGCCCGCTGAGCACATTAAGCCTTATCAGTGCGGCCAGAAAGGAGCCAGGCTTTGGTAATAATAATAATAAAAAACATTAGGCAACATTTTCACTTTCACCCTTTTCAAAATCATTTCCCGTCTTTTGCATATACCTCTGGTAACTTCTTTGGGGGAGTATGGCTTTCTTAAGAAGGTCGTTAGTTGAATTTAGAAAGGGTTATAAATTTTAAATTCTTTTTTTGAAGTAATTTTTTTTAAGCAAAAAATGTTTAAGAAATCTTTTACTAACTTTGTTTAATCAATTCGGTGAGAAACTAACTAACATAAATATTTTATACCAATTTTAATATCTTCTCAAACTAAAAGAGTATTCAAAATTCGTTTAATATTTAACATTTATATTTTTTTTGAAGTTCCGTGTTGAAAATCACACGCCCACTTGGCCAAACTAATTGAAAATGAAAGTTGCACCCAGAGCTGACAGAAACAGAGGCGACACCGCCATCATTTTGTCAACAACAGGTTGGCTGCCCCTGAACCCGCGTTCCGGAAATGGGTTTTTGGGCCGGACCCTGATAAGCCCCCTCTCTCCAGCCCAAAGATTTTCCGCTCTTTCCGTAAGGTAAAGCTTATGCATAATTGGGGCTGACACCCTTGTCAGAGACAATTCAGATTTGTGTAGGCCAAGCAATTTTGTTAGCCTGATAAATTTTAGTTACGAAAGGTAGAGGGTGGGGGGCTGAAAAGGGGTTGACAAATCGTCCAGGAAATCAATTTTGGTATTGGGGTATGAAAAAGGTCAAACTGCCATTTAGGAAATGAAAAACCAGCCACGCCCACCATCCGAACACTCTTATCTAGTGTGTGAACATTTTTCGAGAGCTTCGAGGTGGTGGGTTTCCGCTTGCCACGAACTTTGGCCCCGAGTACTTTACTTTACTTTCTGCAAAATGTCAGTGGAAATGTCAGAATAAAAGTAATGCTGATAAAATTTTTATAGCTTGTCAGAAATGTGCAAAACAAAAAAAAAGGAGGCAAAAATATATATAAACGCCCCCGAGGGGTTGATGTCTGTTCTGTTCTTTATCAAAAAATGTCGCGACTTTGGTACTTTACTTTATTGGAATTTGCATGGCAGTAGCGAAAGCGACAGGTGATTTTCGTGGAAGCGTAGTGGGAGTTGTTTTCACTTCAAATTTATGTTTAATCGAACGGCCATAACTGCCGTCTCCTGGCTGTTAAGTAACTCTATTGATGTGTGGCTTGTGCCAAAGAGAGTTAAGGTTATCTCGCAGTTAACAGTCGCTTTAAGCCGCTTTAAGGATTGGCCAAAAAGCCTCCAAATGTGAACTCAGGTGTATAAGCTCCTGGCACTCCGAACAATATGAACTCAATTCGGCTTTGGAATATTGATTTTTAACAGTGCGTTTCAAAAATGTTACAGTTTTTCAACGATTTTCTATCTTTATATTTGTATTTACCTTTACTTTAGTAGGGTTTGATCGCAGCTACATCATTATTTATGTATCAATATATACATAATTCATAATCAAATACACATAATAGACTGATAGTCATGAAACGCACAGTAAATAGGCTTCCAATATTAAGCATCTCAAATTCATTGTACACAGAAAATCGAATAGGCCGAATGGCATCCAGTGACAACCTGTTGTCAGGCTCTTTGATAATGGAGCTTCCTGAATCCCACCTCCCCTCATCTTCCCAGCTGCATTCCACCCAGCAATATGAGAAAAAGCCACCCTCCTAAGAGCTGTCTTTGTAGTCAGTTTCCCCTCCAGCTAACCTCATTAAATTCGATTGTATTATCGGCTTTTATCGCATTTGACCCAACAGTTTTTGGCATCTTCACATCTCCACATCTCCCACCTGCAACTCAATTTGCCCGAAACTCAATTCAAAGCCTTAGTAGAAGAAATCAAATCACAGGCGATTGACATTTGAAAGTAATGTCAAAACAATTTCGGACACCTTTTGCCCGGCAACTTTGATTTTGGTTGGGTTAAAAGGGAAGGGGAATGGATCTGGGTATTGGAGATGAAATATAAGGCAAGTGGACTTGCTGACTGATTGGGCAAATGTGTTGATGTGCCCAATCAACTGAGTTTCATATCAAAGGCCAGGCCGTTGACATTGCCCAAGAGCTGGGGTGAGAGCACAAAATATGACATCATTTAAGATGGGTCAATCGCTTGAGAGGGCCATAAAACTGCCTTTAAATGTTGAATACGTTTCTAATGCTTTAAAGTGTGTTTACAGATTGCAACCTATAAAAGTCATTAAATTTCTTGGTTTTTATAGACTATCAAGAATTTACTAAGTGATAGAATTTTTTTATATATGAACTTCAATAGAAATATACATTTTTATGGGTGCTTAAAACACAGAAAAGTGTATTAAGTTTATCAAGTAAATTAATGAAATCAATGTTAGTGAATAGCCTCTGCCCATTTTAACTTAATATGATAACCAAGGGATTGAAAAAGTTAGTTTTTGTCCATAAAATATTACTTTTAAGCTGGCTATTTAACAATAGTTTAATCCTTTTGAATACTCCGATAAAAACCTGAAAATGTTAAACAAAAACCTTTTATTTAAGCCCTATTTGGCCGAAGTGCTTGCAATATCTGCAGACCAGATGCTGCCATAAATTTCCCTTCTAGTGCCAATTACTTTTTGTGCTGAATTTTATCAATTTCGAATGCACAATTTTAAATAAATAGGCAATTGAAATGTTTTATGACACTCACATGGCCAGCAGAAGAGCTCCCAACAAAGGCCCAGCCTTCATTTCCACAGACACATTTTCCACCACACTTTATCGCCTGCAAAGGCCAATAAACTTAACCCTTGTCTTCGTGATATAACCCCCTACCATACCCTTCTGTCATTCAAAC